AAAGTTTTCGCATTTATCAAAGATCGTTTGAATGTTCCGTTGGTCGTCCTCTGAAATGATGTTAGCATATTGATATAAATGATACGACCTGCACGAGAAGAAGACCAACTGTTCAACAATTGTGGGGGCCCAAAGAAGTCAATAACAGCCGCATCGTTTAAGCCAACCTTCCCCACGTTCTGTGCGAGCTTGATAGCGTCCTCCCATGCTGCAATGATTTCCCTTTGTCTGTCACCTACTTTTCTACGATGCTCAGTCAGTTCGTAGACCAGAATCTATATTAAACTTGGGGTAGAAGAAGATCGATTATAGAGTAATTACGCATTGAGATATTTATTTTATCTTAGCTAGTTATTAACCAGCATAGCCCCAATTCCCACTTTTACGCGTTGTGCACTTAGACTAAACGCCAAGTTGGGGGCTATTTTAAGTCAACCCCCCGATCACCCATTATATCTTGATGAAGAAAATACACACTTTCAAGGCTTCAATCCCCGTCCAAATCTATTCTCCCTACCCATAAAACCGCCATGACTTCCGCTCTGGGCGAGAGATCAACAGATGCATCAAAAAGCGAAGTGACCACGGAGATACCTCAGAGTGCCAGCGCGCGGCAAAGCCGCCCATACAAATATTGTATCACGTTGCTAGTTATTCTCATTCCTGCCCTCTACTATCTCTACAGAGACAGACTACCCTGGCACAAAGGACAATACCCCTACCGGCCAGATAATGACGACCGTTATTGGACACTTGACCACCCGCCCAAGGACCAAGAGCCCGAACCTTTCTATCCGATAAAACGTTACAGCCTCGAATACAGAGGGTACGTAGCCTGCTGGCAGCACCAGGGTGTATGGGTTGGATACCTCACGCCCGTGGAGATGTCCCATCTCGGAGTCGACCGTTTCCGCGATTCGGAACGATCACTCGACCAGGTCGAGGAGGATGCATTTTGCGCAAGACTACGGCTTTACGGGGCTAGCTTCTGGTCGCTGCCTCCTCAATGGCCTGAGGGCATCCTCTGGGCTTCGTCTATCGATGGCGTCGTTGAGCCAACTACCAAGGTCAACCTTACTGTAGGTTTCCCGGAGAGTGGCGGCGTATGGTTCGTTGATACCAGCGATGGTTGGGAGGGGCTTCACCCTCAGAGAATGGGTCTATACAACGCTATAACGATGGAGGAAAGGTGTAACGTCCTCAAGGACCTCGGAGGAAAATTTTGCCAAGATATTCAGACATGTCCAGAGATGGCGCCTCTACTAGCACCGCCAGAGGCATGGATCGGTGTATAGGGGGGTGTTGTTTTTTTTTTTTTGTCATTTGATGAGCCTGGATATGTGCCACCATACACTCCTAAGCAGCAATTCACAACATTATCTTGATAGCCGATCGAAAGTCAAGTGGATATTATCTCATCATCAACCGTGGAAGTGCAGCCGTTCTCTCCTTTCGCTTCTTCAGACCGTCATCCTCTCGCAACACTAATCCCCCAGGCCCGACCCCCAGACCAGCCCCTGCACTCCAACACGCCCTCGCATTCACGCACCTAGCTGTAATAGCACGAATCAGATTGGGATGCCACGAATGTGCCTTTGGTCAAGTTCGATGCCTTGATTTATGGCGGATACTTATTGTAGGGCCATGAAATTATTATACAATAACTAGCGCATTATAGGAGTAGATGCTCCAACGCCTCTTGGCTCGGGGCGGAATCTAGGTCCCTATACATGAGCCATTTGCTGATAAAGTACTACGAATCATAGATATATGTCAAATATTATGCTTAGTTATCTACTTAGATGGTTTATATACACGAGATTCATCCTTATACTCAGGCTCTATAAGCTCACCAATATACAGATAACTCGCCCTATAACCGTTAGAAAGAAGAGGTGTTAGGCAAAAGCGAAATGCAGAAATGCAAAGTAGAAATATTGGCAATGCAGGAAGTGTAACGCATTTACAACTCATGCTGATTACATCCACCGCCCATGATGTTTCCATCCGATATTTCCCCAGGCTCCAGGCGCTTCAGAGTTTCCTGTTCAAACCCTCATGATCCTATCTTATCTACAGGCTTGAAATAAAAACTATTAGCCATCCCAGTTCAGGTGGACACTAATATCACCGCCACCCATAAGTTAATTCTACACTACATTGTACAAGCTCTACCAAGGTGGGACTACGGATTAACAAGTTAACTATAGTCAACCATTTGGCTTGGAAATTTATACCCTTGGTATTCACTATAATCTACCAGCTCAATACATGCAAGTAGCCACTATAGGGAGAATCATATGAAAACAATCTTTGGAAAGACTGGCACATCCACTGTCCAACAGTTGTGTATCCAACCCATAACCATATCATTTGCCAGCTCATGTGGTTGCCGGTTTGGTTTGCTCCCTCGTCGCGTTTTTCGCAGCCTCCCAGGCTCTATCTAGCCGTCCTGCTGGCGGATGACTGTATATCGTTTGGACTTCGGTATCGAGGCTCTCAGCTTCAAGACAGGAATGGGATTGTCATTACTGTATTTCTCTGTGGTCCAATAGAGCCGACGGTTGCTTGCATCAATGGAGAAGAGATTGCAACTGTTATGAGGATACTCGCTCACCCGGACCAACGAGGGGTTGTCATTAAGCACAGCGATCGCACCGTCTTTTATCTCTGGAAAGTGGATATATTTCTTGCTGCTTTGGTCTTGGATTGTATGAAAGGAATAAGCTAATGTGAAGCCCGTACCCCAAACGCGCCACTTATAGTTGGTGTTCGACTTGAACTCTACTATGCCGTCAACTGGAGTTGTGCCAACCGTTGCGAATTGACCAGTCGAGTTGTCATTTATGGTATAGACGCCCGGAGGGATGTACTGATAGTTTTCAGCAGAAGACAGACGGAGCTGTAAAAGGAAAAGCACAATGAGGTGTAAGACGTGCATTGTGACTGTAGGAGGAAAGTATAGGATAGCCAAGTGAAAATGTGTTGAACAGTCTGTGAGATTAAAGACAGTTACAATGGCATTTATAGAAATATCTAAACTGTTCACTCTGCTTGACGCCCTTCCTAGGCTGGTCTGGGACCGAGACTAGGCGGTTGGTCAAGGCAGCTGGCTGGCATCTTGTCCTTTCATGATTACGCCAGCTAGGGGCTGCTATAGGAGATTCTATATATATCTCGTATTTATTGATGCGAGTAAGACGGGTTACTCACGGTTATGCCTCGAATGATACGAAATCAAATGCCGGGGGTTCTGAGCATAATATCTGGCTTCCCGCGGAGCAGTTTGTAGTTATAAACATACAAATTCCCCCATATCCCCCTATCTACAATCTTCTACATACCACTCCTTATATCGACCTACAATCCAAAAAAATGCAAATTGGTCTAGCATTTATCTTTCTGCTGGTGGGCATTGGTGTCGCCGAAGTAACTTTGCATTCTTTTGTCACCATATTAAGCCATAACTATGGGTTAACAGCTCAGTTTGACGAGGCTCGGAAGCTCATTAAGTTCACCAAAAGCGACGACCATGATAACTTCTTCGTGGAGGGTGTTGCCGACCCAGCCCGTGGCTGGCATATCGTTGAACTCGACAACAGAGTCAATGGCACAACCACTCACATCCGCTTCCCACAAGCCAGAGACGGAGAGCTTGCAACCTTTGACACGGAGTGGGCCTCGGTGTTCCATGTTGAACTACACGAAGATGCTGTCTTCTCATTCACCCTGCTTGACCCTTCCACCCCGGGTGATAAGCTGGCATGGACCGTGGAACGGTACAGCAGCAATGATCAGACTATGGTTTTGAGAATAAGACCCTACGACAAGAGAAACACAAACCAGCATTTCAGTATTATTTCACGCCCTCGCGAGGATTAAAGGCCAATTGGGGGTCTGTGAAGGAAACTTAGCAGGATGGTGGAGCTACAGGGGAAAGCATCAATGTATCTGCCTGGCCGTTCGTGTAGAGGGTCGTGTCACCGCTCAAACGTCTTTTTGACTGGAATGATATTTTGGGACTTCCTTTCGACTTGGTTCTTGGTTGTTTCTGAGTGCTTTTCCTTTGCCTCTTCTACTGCTACTTGTCTTGTAGCTGCTGTATCAAGAAAATACTATTGTTAACACACACTCGCATAGGCTGGAAGCCAGAATAGATATTCGAGGCCAAATAATATTGCAAGCCACTATATAGGAAGAGTATAAATTTCTCTTACCCAAGACCCACGCTGTTATATGAGTGGTTTGGCTGGATATACTACTATGCATGTAAGCTGACAGGTGGGGCTTTTAAGGGCGCTCCACATCTTAATCGTAGCCGCCCTAACCACCCCTACTATGTATAATAACAGAGTTATATGGGGAGTAAGTTATAAACTCTAACCTGCTTCACCTCTATAAATATATATCTTTGATTTGACATACAACTTGTGAAGTGTAAATAAATTAAAGCAAGACTTACACCATTGAAGTTGAAACATATATCATAGTTCCTATAGTATCATCTAATAACAATAAAAGATACCATGGTGCTGTGATCCATCCGCCAGAGAATAAAAAAAGCATCATAATACATGATACATAGAATCCGCCTCCTAGGAAGCTAGAATAACAAAACAAGAACAAAAACAGAACGAAATAGCCACTGCTTTTGTTTTTGTTATGCACCTCTATATTCCAATCTAGTTGAACAAGAGCTGCCGCCCTGGTTAGTGTTCTCCACTACTTGTTGTGTGGAGTGTAGTGAAGTGCATAAAAATAGGTCATCAGTATCGTTAAGAAGGAAAAAAATACCCATCAACCTTTGCCCTATCGTGCCATGGTCATCCAGTCTCTTTTCTTTATTTATTTCATTACTGACAATTGCCTCATTGACGTTTTCGGATGACGATGTTTGGTCCGTTCTTTTGACTTGTGAAGTGGTCTACCATGGCGAGGTGGCCGTTTGCATCTTCACCGGTCCTGTCAGCGATCTCGACGTCGAAAAGGAACATCATGCGAGCGATGGTGAGGCGCATCTCCATCAGAGCCATACTCTTTCCGATACAGCCGCGGGGGCCGATGGAGAACGGACAGAAGGCACGTCGGGCAATGTCGACGGAGTCCTTGGTGGATACCCACATTCCGCTGTCGGTCTGGCACATGGCGCCCTCGATCCAGCGTTCGGGGATGTATTTTGAGGGTTCACGGTAGTAGTCTGGGTGTCTGTGGATAGCGTAGGTTGGGGTTCCGCAGTCGGTTCCGGCAGGTAGGTGGACGCCGTCGACCTCGATGCCGCCTGGTAGCACTTCACGGGGGATGGCTCCGGGTACGGCGGGTGCGAGACGCATGGCTTCATCGATACAGGCCTTGAGGTAGACCATGTCATTGAGTTTGGAGCCGGTAACGATATCTTCGACATCGGTGAAGTTGGCACGGATCTCCTTCTTGAGCTTTTCCAATGCGTTGGGGTAGCGGACGAGGTAGAAGATGGTGGCTGTGAGGCCGGTGGAAGTGGTGTCTGTTCCCGCGATCATGAGGACGTTACTCTCACTCCACAGCTCAGGAGTAGCGAGCCCCTTGCCGGTCTCTGGGTCCTTGGCATTGAGGAGATAGTAGAAGAAGTCCTTCTTGGCCTCATGGCCGGCCATGGTTCGTTCTTTGGCACGCTGGGTTGCTTCGACTCGGGAGTTCTTGATGAAGTTCCATCGGTCATTGGTCAACTTGCGGATGAAGATTTGGTCCAGTTTCCAGCTGTCGAGGGGCATCCACAAACCGCACTTTTGAGTCAGGTTAGCTACATATTCAAAAATGTTACATAGTATGCCGAGAAGGATGTACTCACAACATAGTGTCTGAAAGCCGCTCTGTCGACGAGAGCAATGACATCTCTCCTTCCACGCTCAATCAACATGCCAAAACTCTTTCCGAAGCAAAGCTCACCCATGACATCGTAGGTCAAGTAAGCAAACCAGTCAGCCATGTTCCTCACGGCAACACCCTTCTCGTTGATGACTCTATCGGATGCCAGGCCGGCAGCATCACCGCCCATGATATCACAGAACTGACGGACGTTGGTGAGCATGACCTCTTCCATTCCCTTGAGAGCGTGTTCCGAGAAAGCCTGGCTGAGCACGCGTCTCTTTCGGCCGTGGATGGTCTTGTCGATGACATTGTGGGTATTGTACACTCCCTTGATTGCAGGGAAGGCGTTATAAAAGTTCGACTTCTTGACCTTCTTGCCATGACCATAGATGTCATGGAGGCCCTGTACGGTGTTGACGGAGATAAAGTTGGGTGCTACCCGGACATGGGTTCCGTACTTTTCGTGCAGCTCAGCGAGCCAGAGATGACGGTCGCCGTTGAGTCCATGGTAGAGCTGAACAAGGGGGGTGATGGTTGCAAGGAAGGGGCCGGGGAATGACCGTAGTGGGTGCAGAAACTTGTTATAAGCACAGTACCCGGCAGTCTAGCCATTTATTCATTAGCCACACCACTTTTTTTTCACTATGCCACAGGATTTACAGAGGAGCGTAGACTTACCAGCACGACCACAGAGAGCAGGAGAAGCTGCCCTGCCAGGACGAGCGAGAAGCTCTCGACAAGCGGCGCAAGCAACATCTTATCTTATCTCCACGTGAAATGTAAATTCTGTGACGTCAGGGGTGGCCGTCGATAGCCGAGGATAGCTGCTCGCACAGATGAAGATGCGTGAGAGCAGAGCAGCACAACCAAAGACGAGGATGATAGAGAGAAAGAAAGATGAAGGAAAGAGAGAAGGAAGAAAAGGCGAAGGAGGAGTAATTTATGTGTGGACTTGGAATGGTGGGACGCTTCACCATTCAAGTTATATAAGTCACAGTCGCCCTGGAAGCGCTTCGCTCGGCTAGCTTCGGCCAAAGCTCTGGCTCTTTTTCGACCATAAAAAAAAAAAGAAAAGATTACATCATCACGTCGGATATTTTACTCGCTGACTGGCCCGGGGATTTCAATAGCAAGGGCCCCCATAGGCCAGATGCTAATGTAGGCTGTGCAGGGAGCTCTATCGGAAGAACCGGCTTGCCCACAGTTAAGCTAAATATTGTAATACTCCGGGCCAACAACATGCAAGCCAGCTCGCTTCACAGCAGCTTCTTGGTCACCGGGCCATGGCTGAGCTGATCGATACAGAGGGCGACCTGTTGTTCGTCGGCGTCAAGCTCCGGCAGCGAGAGATAACGCTCCGGCCTGTGGATCGTGCAGCTTCATCATATCCCGTCGTGGAGAAAGCCCGAACTAGGTACTTATGTAAGCACTATCGGCAATTACAGGGTGTTTATGGGCACGTGACAGAGTTAACGCCGGATGAATACATGACATAAGCATAAAAGCGCCCACCACTAAAAGATCGATCCGTCATCCTTTGCTTTGCCACGAAAGAACACTTAGAAGTGATAAAGTGCTACTACGTCATTTATACCAAAGATACCCAAAGTATAGGTCTCGTCTACATTATCAAGCCATGTCTGGATCGTAGTAATGGACGGATCGAGCTATGCAACGTGAGAGTGTATAGAATAGTATTTACGTGGACGAGTTCCTCATGAAACATCCACTTATCACTAGCAGGGGAAACCAACATTCAGACTCGAAGGAGGATTTGATTGCCTTGGGGCTCACCTGTGGTCAACCTCACTCTTCTGATTCTCTGGAAGATATTGCGACAAATAAGGCTGCAGATTTCAAATATCTGTGCCAATTAGAGAGCCATGGTGGAGAGAAAGGGGTATTGCCGTACAGGGTGTCTAGCAAGGCACCCTTCTCCCACAACATTTTCAAAGCAGGAGTTAAAAAAGGCACCATCAGATCATTACTTCCTGGAAACTCAGCCACGCCTCAAGCTTGGTATACTCCCTAGCATAAGTTTCAATGATGCTAAGAATCCGTCCGGCACTAGCAGCAGGAGAGGGGAAGAGGATGAACCAAAGCAGCCATCCCAAAGAGAAATACTCTTCTCCTGAAATAACTATAGAATCCAGCCTCTGTATATTTCCTACTACCGCACATATTACCCGCTTTGAGTTCGGCTCTATGTTTCAGAATATCGACTATCCGCTCTGCCCGCATCTACAGCTGGGCGAGGCTCTCGACTTTACTTTGTTTTCCTCGCAACTTACTGCTAATCCTAACCTTGAGCTTGTTGAAGGTTGATAGTGCAAAATACTGCAAAACACATGTGTCGTTCGAAATACTACCGGCGGATACGCCTGGTAGTAATGGCCAGGAGGGGTACGCACTCAAACTAAGGAGATCAGTTGGGAGACTCTACTCGCTATTAGAGCCCGGCTGGCTTACACAGCCTTCTGCACATATGTATCCTCATGTCGACAAGTATAACAAGTTGAACGACGATTGGTTTCGAACTTATTGGGGGAATTCTTCCAATCTCTCCTGTTCTGTACCTGGATTTGACTTGAGCAAGTGTGACTCACGGCATTTTACACCTGATGGTCGTCTGTTATCCGACCCGATATATCTGTCTCTAACTCAATCCTCTCTACAAGAAAGGGCGCGCGTGCGGACCTAGCTAGCTGAAAGCAGTAGCATTCCCTATCAGATTCATAGGAAGTACTGACCTCCACATACGATAAAAGTAGAAGAGCGCCATGGGATTCTAGCTCTGAAAGGGAAATAAGTACTAAGTGACGGAACAGACGTGCTTTTTTTCGATACCAGCAGTCACTACATAGGTAAGCGATCTCCAAAGAGATATCATTTTTTTTTAGTACCTGCGTGTGCCTCTCTCCTTATGATCAGCCCAGTATTAATTATTAGGTGTGGATACTGGTTCTTAGTCGTATCCATCTATCTAGGGAGTAAATATACCCTTGACATATTTCCATGGGTATAAGGACTGGCGCCTTCCCCTTCTCCCCAAGGCTAAATATGGCTATTACTCCTGTATTTAACAATACAGATATCATAGGGGTCCTTCATTCGTGGCTTTAACAACAGCAGTCAAGGCTATGTGTAAATTTTTTTTCCAAGGAGCTCTGTTTTTACTTATGCTGTATTGAATAACAATGTTATTGAGATAATATGTATTATTACCATTGTAAATCCCTTTTAATTCTCTCTCTAATGCCCTAGGCAGCACTATCTAACCATCCCCCTAGCTTCAACCCAACAATCTTTCCTAGCTCTGCTGAGCCATCACTCCGAACCCATACCTCTTCCATGTCTTGGATAATGCGTTCAATATATGTCCCTGCAGCGCTGCGTTCCAATATATGAGCAATAGCGCGATGAAGTGCCAGTAGCTTAGCAGATGGCGGGCCAATCGTGTGGCCCGGTGAGAGGAGTAGAGTCCGCGTTATCGGGAAGTTGAAGGAGCTCCGCATCAGGTTGTTTGATGAAGTTATTATGTACGTATGGGGAGTGGAGGTTGTGAGATCAACGGGTTCAAATGTTAGTTGAAACATGCCGAAGAGGGTATGCAGTTCAGCCGCAAGGCTGATAGCATTACTTGGACGATCAATACCCGTGCCTTCAATTTGATGAATTATCCCGCGATCAAACATGTTTAATATTGAAAGAGCGGTTTTCTTAGCAGTGCTCTAATACCAGTATTAAAAGATGGTACATAAGTATATATAGATCAGATTTGTCCGACTCACCAACTCATTCGTGGTTTTTGACGACATTATTGAATGTGGTATAATATGAGCAACCTCAATTCGTGTAAATGGACCAGCCAGCGGGAGATTTTCGTCATCCTTCGGTTCAGGATCACGCTTCCCTCGATTTATGGCTTCTGTCACGTCGAATTGTTGTGTGACTACGCACCGGTGGTGGTCACGTATGAGGCAATCGCGCCGCAGAGTTGACAAGCGTGCGGGTGTCCCGACGACATGATCAATTGCAGGAGCTGATAGACTTGCTGCGGATGCCTGAGGTGTTTTTGATCCTGCTGCTCTCACTAAAAACATAACACGTAAGTTATTTCGGAAGGGCTAGGAAATCCAGGTTAGAACCCTTAGAATCCCAAAAGTAGTCAATTCCCACATACTTGGAAGGAAGAAGTTGTCAAATAAATATTCTGCAAAGGAGTTCATAGCACTCTCTGCCTCCCGCTTCTGAGTTTCCGGAGACTGGGAGCTGAATCCATCATATCTAGCCAGTCCTCGTACGAAGCATGGCTGTATTGCAGTATCATCACTAGAGCAATACAAGCCATCAAAATAGGTAAAAATCTGCCGAAGAAACAGATCAACTGAGCGGCATTCCTCGTATGTCAGGCGGACTAGTGTGACCTTCTTGTACGGCGTGCTGCTCTGCAACGCCTCACAGTGATTGATAAGAGTGTTTATGACTGTTTGAGCTTGTGATTGTTCGGCAGCAGAAATGCAAGGGGCGGTAAAATCAAGAATTTCTTCAAGCGATGATTGACGGCGGTGATGGGGAGATGATTCTTGGCCAGGAGGCAGCGAAAACAAATGGTTTGCCATGGGTGACGCGTCTTAACTCTTCTAAAAAAAACTTGTAGGTTCAAACGGCTCAACGCTATCGTATACAGTGCAAGCAGCTATGAGGTCCCGCGAAGTCGAGAAATAGCTATGGAAAGGGTATCTTCTTAGTCGTTGTTGGTAGTGAATGTAGAAGTTCCTAAATTGGAAAAGGCCCGTTTCGGATATATCGTATAATAGTTATTCCGTAATAGAGCACTCTGATCACGTGGTAATCTAGGATTATGTCAGAATGTCTCCCATTGGCCAAAAGGCAAGTGTATCTGATCTGATGATTAATATATTTACTATGGCACATATTCCTTCCCTCTACTTTGTTTATACTCCTTTTGCAACCACTATACCGCAACGCCATGGGCTCTATCTGTTGAGCTTCTCAAAAAATCACATAATAGACAGAAATGGCGGATATTTTATTTCAACCTCGCTCACTATATCCAACTCCTTCACACCCAGACGGTGGTATCTGCGACACTGAACTCAGCTGCCGAAAAGTCCGCATCCATCATCCCGCTTACAAAGACGATTCGTATACTCTTATTGCTTTCATCGGGCTCGACCATCCGGCTGGTGGCATCCATCATGAAACTGCGAGGATTGCGTGTGCAATTCTCGCGGGCAATAGATGGGATGGGTTTTTGACAGAGACGAGAACAGGAGAACGCATTAGGGAGGATAGTAATTTCTATTCTTCAGAAGAGTAAATACTACTTTCGACTGCCAAATATTTCCCCTGATGGTAAGTGAATATCTTTACAATATATGCTTTAGGGCTAACAGTATTATCATAGAAAAGTTCCCCATCACTCCCTCCTTCTCTCACTACAGATTCCCGCAAAGCTTGCCCTCTTCATGGCGAGACCAATCTCTTCCGAATTTACCAGAAAACCGATTACCCCGTCAAAGCAGTTTAGTTCCAGCCCCTATCGCCCGTGACATCTCTTGTCGAGTAACAAACCATACGGAAGGCACCGAGCATGCGCATCTTATACCCCGGAGCGAACAACAGTGGTATATCCAAAACCGCATGTCCAGGTACGCGAATATACGCCCCGATGCTGAATTTATAGACGATACATCCAATGCTATTCTACTCCGCTCCGATATCCATTCTCTCTTTGATCAAAAGAGGTTCGTGATAGTCCCAAAAGCCGATAATTTTGTTATCCATATCCTAGCTTCGGGCTCTCTTGAACTTATCAACTGCTATCACAATGTTACTTTGCAGCCTTTGACTGGGGTTGCAACTGAATATCTCTTTGCTCGATTCGCCTGGTCTATATTTGCTTATTCTACACCATTCCTTCTGAACAGTCTAAAACGAACACTCTCACTTTATGTGGATGGTGAGGTAAAGGTTGTTGAATATACTGGTGAGCAATGCAGACAATTCGTCACTGGGGCTAAATCCCGCAGTCAGAGCCCGCGAAAGCGACAGCGGAATATAGTACAACCCGGGCCAGAGGATGATGGAGAATTCCGTGGGCGGAAAAGGAGACGCAGCTTTGAGCTGTTGTCTTCTCCGGACTCGCAAGGAAACCTATCAACAGATAGCTAGCAGCCCGAGTTGGAGACCGACTTTGAAGTATTGAACACGAAGCAAGTTGGAGCCTCCGATACGCATGACTACCACGAGCAGATCCACGGCTATGCAGAAACACAAATGCACTTAGCTTTCTGATATATTCTCGATACTTATACCCAAGTTTGATCAAAGAAGACAGGGCTTGCAGGTAAACGAACTGGGTTATTCCATACATTAGCAGTGCGTATTGATTTGTCCTACCACAATGCTACTAATATCGACCTGTAATATGGTGTTAGAGAGTTCGGAGGTCAAATACGGCCGGTAGACGCAAGCGTGTGGATAAACCGGATAAACACAGAGAGAGTGAATGGGCAAGGGAGAATAGGGATTATGGGGGGAAATAACCCGATGCTTGTATTTATAGGGAAAGGCTGGGAAGTTCGGGTGAGTCAGCAGGAAGGTAAAGCGGCGGGGTTCGCGTCCTAATCTGGAGGGGTATGAAAGATTACATAGTATACATCAACATCAATATCAACGTCCAGTATCAACAAACTGATCAGTCGCCAGTGGTAGATAAAGATGAATATATAAGCATTTAATCCAGCATGGGAATAGCTCGAGGGCTCTCCAGGCCGCAGGAGGGAGGCTAGTCAAATGCACTCTGCTGGGGGCGGGCTCGGTGAGCGAGCGTCCAATGGCTTACTATGTATGTTGAGTACATAGGCGAGTTCGTTCAAGAAAACAGTTGAATGGACGACAGTGTTCGTTTTCAAGCTAATGATGGGCCGGTCACAAAATAATCCAAGGGTACTTGATGCAGAGAGCATAGATATGACAGCCCATGGTCCGCTCACCGGCTCTGGACCACGTCGCAGTTACCCACATATCCAACAGGTAACAGATCGCTTCGAGGTGGTTGGGCTTACGCTGACACGAATGGATTCCGCTCTGATGATTCTCCCATGAAGCAAGGGGTCAAGGAGAGCGACAGGCTGTTTGAAATGTCTGCCACTGCAAAGCCGGAGCAAGTCATTGCCGAGTTCTCCCTGAAATCTCTTCTCTTCCAGGGTCTGGGAAAGACGGAAAGCCGTCCTCTACCTTCGTTCATCGAATGACTGCTAGACAGTATGCCAAGCTGTGGATGGAAACTGTACTACTCCGTACTCCGGATACAACGGTGATGGGGTACAGTTTTCCTTAACATCTTACATTTAGTTTCGAAACAATATGCTCACGTACATACATACGCTGCAGGGTCGCTTAGTTCTGCTGCCACGAGGACGACATTCGAGATACATTTCCAATTTGAGAATTGGCAAGGCTTGTCGTCCTGCTGGATACGGATACAGCTGAAGGATTAACTACTCTAGGCCAATCACATGAATCTCGGCCTAGAAAGACGGTGAATTTCATCGCCAGAATGTGTAGCATTCAATAAAATA